CAACCCTGAGCCGGTGAGATTTGAACCGCTGAACTGCTGATCTAGCAGTAGCCTGCAGTGCTGCATTTAACCACTGCGCCACCTTGGCTCTGAACAATTAATATTACAAGTGTTAGTACGGCTGTTCTTACGTTATTAAAACTGATAGGAAGGCATTGGAGAATGGAGAAGTACAAAGGATAAACATGAATGTCGATACAGAAGGCTTTATAATTACTTTATATTGTTTGTCTTGTTTTTCTTTACCTTTTTGTTGTGTTTTTCTGTTTTTAAAGGTAAAAATGTTTAATAAAAACTATTTATTTTTTAAAAAAGAAATGGTTTCCCTCCATTTTCAGTCCTAGAATTCTCTTTCCCCACCCAGATGATTCCACAGGAGGAAGAGGGAATCCTTAGGGAATTTTGCATCCCCAACTATGGATATAACATGGTCCACCTTTGGAGACAGGCATTCAAATTGTAACAATAGAAGATATTTTAGTTTCCCTCCCCTTTCAGTCATATAGTTCTCTTTCCTTGCCCAGATTATTCCACATGGAAGTCTTTGCATTGCCTGCAAAGCTAAATTTTGGGTGGATATTTCAGGGATTTTGAGCTATATTTCTGGGCTTCTTGGAGGCAGGAGAATTGTTGGGGAAAAATGGCTTCCTGATTTCCTATTTGGGAAAGATGGGTGGGTCTTGATTCCCCCCCCCCTTTTTACAATCAGAGGCCATAAGACAGCCCTGAAAATATCAGAATCTGATCAGAAATGGGGGTAGCTTAACTAGAGAGGTTGAGTAGCCCTTGTGGCTGCTAGACCAGCTTGGAAGAAAAATCCATCTGGTTCAGTTGCAAGCTGGGAGAAAGGCACTGGAAATAAAATAGCTGATTGGAAATCCATTTATTGGAATCCATTTATTGATAAAGCACAACCGCCAACCACACGTGATTCTCGTATGGCTTACAAAATGGAATTGAGAGTGGGTGGGCTTTATACCTTCTGGATTCCTAAGGGGTCCTATGGCTGGCGCTCTAGGCAAAAGGGGAAAGGCAAATCCTAGGTGTCTGTCTGAGCTAATTTTGTCAACCTTTGGTTTGTTGCCTAACTGAGTTTGTGTCTTGACCCAGTCTTTCTGAATGGATTACCAAATCTGCCTTTCTAAAAGCTGGCCTCCTCACTTCCTGCCTTGGGCAGGGAAACGGGGGCTTAAAAATCCCTTAAGATTTTTCCTATTTCTCATTCAAGGGAGATATTCTATCCTGCTTTTTTAATATTTCCCAAAATACTAAATTTTTCTAAGGGAGGGAGCTTCCCACAAGAGTGATGGTAGATTGGTGATTCTCCCCACTCCATCCATCCATGATCTCTCCTGTATAAAACATATAATTTCAATTGTATCAAAGAGAGCTGTAGTCACTTGCTTTCTCTCCATAGATGCTGGGACGTTGTTAACCCTGCTCAAAACATCTGGACTCACAGCATCCTACTGATCCTCCGGAGTGGACACCTAAAGCGCTCACAACTGCTTGCTTCACGCAGCACCTGGGGCTTTGAGCTTCCTGTATAGTCTCATACTCCACATATACATCTGTGTGAAGAAGACGATAACTAACCCCACACACACACTCAAAAAAATGGCCGAACTCAGAGTGGACATTGAAAACAGCTGCTTTCAAAAGAGGTGGGAGGCAGAGTATCTGTTTGTTGATATTGAAGGTACGGCCGTGTGCCTTGTTTGCAGAGATATTATGGCTGTATTTGAAGAATATAATATGAGATGGCACTATGAGACCAAACATCATGACAGGTACAAAAACATGAGCGTACAGCAAAAGATAAAGACGGTGGAAGAGTTGAGAAAGAATCTGATGTCGTTCATAAAAGCAAAGACACAGCGTGAAGCTGCTGTGAAAGCTACTTTTATAGTGGCAGAAGAGATCGCTAAAGCGGCCTGGCCATTTACAGAAGGCGAGTTTTTGAAGCGCTGCATGGTTAAAGTGTGCGAAGTCTTGTGTCCTGACCAAAAGGAAGCGTTTTTGAACTTAAGCCTGAGCAGAAATACTATTGCTGGTCGGATAGGTGAGCTTGCCACGGTTTTACAAGGACAGTTGGTTGAAAAGGGAAAAGATTTCATTGCATATTCCCTTGCTGTGGATGAGAGCAGTGACATCTCTGATGTGGCACAGCTGACAATCTTCATCCGTGGAGTGGACCCAAGTTTATGCGTTACAGAGGAATTTTTGGATATGAAATCAATGCATGGCACTACCACAGGAAAAGACATATTTGAAGCAGTGTCTAAATGTGTAAACGACATGAAACTGCCCTGGGACAAACTTACGGGACTGACAACAAATGGGACACCTTCGATGCGCGGGGAAGAGAGTGGATTAGTGGGAAGGGTGCGAGAGAAGATGAAGAGCGAGAATTGCACAGGTGAGCTGACGGCATATCACTGCATCATACACCAGGAAACACTGTGCGGCAACATTCTGAAGATGGAACATATAATGGGCACTGTAACACAGACAATTAACTTTATAAGAGCCAATGGTTTAAATCATCATCAATTTAAGTCTTTCCTTGAGGAAATGCATTCTGAACTTGGTGATCTGCCCTATCACGCAGCAGCGCGGGGGATAAGTCAAGAAAAAGTGCTCAGTAGGTTTTTTGAGTTGCGCCTGGACATTTGTCAGTTTGTTGAAAGTAAAGGAAAAGACTCCACGGTACTGCGGGATGAAAAGTGGCTGTGCGAATTAGCCTTCCTGTGCGATGTTACGAAACATCTCGCGGCACTAAAGCTTCAGCTTCAGGGACGGGACTTTGCGATCACGGACATGTATGATGCAGTGAAAAGCTTTCAGGTAAAGCTGCAACTCTGGGAAGCTCAGATGCAGCACGGAAACTTGAGTGACTTTCCCTGTTGCCAAACAATCATCAGCCAAGTCTCCACCGCTGTGTTCTCACATGCTCAGTTTGCGGATCAACTGAGCACGCTTCACATGGAGTTTGCGCGCCGCTTTGTTGAGTTTGAAGCGCAGACATTCGATTTCGGACTGCTCAGTAATCCATTTTCAGTCGACGTGAAGGAGGCACCCGCAGACATCCAGATGGAGCTGATGGAACTCCAGTGTAGCGACACACTTAAGGCAAAGTATGATTCTGTAGGGTCCGCGCAATTCGCCAGGTTCATCCCTGAAACGATGCCCCAACTCCGCCTGCGAGCTGCTCGAATGCTCTGCATGTTTGGTAACACACACCTGTGTGAGAAAGTTTTCTCTGTGATCAGGGCGAACAAAAGAGCCCACAGGAGTCTTCTCACTGATGCACACCTCCGCTCTATCCTGAGAGTTTCCACAGCTCAAAACCTAACGCTGAACATGGATGAACTTGTAGCCAGGAAAAGGTGCCAAACATCCAGGTCAGAAAAAAAGGTGAGAGAGGGAGAACAACAAAGTTTGGGGTTTTTTTTTCCTTTGTTTTAAATTTGTTTTTGCAGATTTGTTTGAACTAATTATTTGTTCATATTTGAAATGTTAATATTGTTTGGCCCAGGTCTTAGACATAATGCACTCCTGAACTAACGTGATGCAATAGTCTTGCATGCCATTGGCCCCGGAGTCCTTCGGGCGTGGGCGGCATACAAGACCAATAAATTTTGAGGGCAACCATAATGCTAATGTGGCAAAGGTTTGCAGGAAGTAGTTTCCTCCAAGTCCAATTTCTGCCTTGAAAGATCTCTGGATAGGAGGAGGGGGTGGCAGGTTAAGGGAAGGCTGCTCCAACAAGCCAGCATCCTTACCACACACAATTGGAAACAGGGATTCCCTTTCGATAAGGGCCAACCTCACTTGTGCAGAACTGGGGAGAGTTGTTCCCCTGCCTCCTCCTCTTGCTCTCCAGAGAGCTGTCAAGGCAGAAGTTGGATTCAGAGGAAACACACACACACACACACACAATTCCAAGTTTGGAGACTTATCCACATCTGAGCTAGCAAACTGCTAGGGCTTGGGGAGAAGGCCCTCTCCTTCCTATGTGGATAAAAGTCTCAAAACGTGGAATACAGTGTGTGCCTGTGCACATGTGATGACCCCGGGCACGACATGAAAGCCAGAGAACAGGACTAACTCCCCTTGATTGCTCCAACTTTCCCCCAAATGTCCCCATGTTTACTACAAGTCCCACAGCAAAGCTCTCACAAACACCTTCAGCCTCTGGCTGTGAGTAGTCCAGTAAGCCAAGTTAGCCAAGCAGTAACCAGAGCAAGACGTTCAGCAAAGCAGATAAACCTGGCAAGTCCCACAAGGCACAGCACAGTAATCTTGGCAAGTGCACACGAGGCTCCACAGATTCAACGCTTGTTCCCAACAAATGCCCCTCCCACCGGCACCCCCTTACACCTCAGTCCCCAGGTGTGCCTTGTGAGGGGGGGGCAGGGCACTCCCCTCCCTCATAGCTGTCTCAGTCTGCGTTGTTCTCGCCTTCTCTTTTCTCTTCGTGCTCTAGGATCAGGAGGGGGTGGTCCTTGCTCTTTGCCTGAGCTCTGCCTCTCCTGCTCCTCCCCATCTGCAAGCCTTTCCAATTCAGAAAAGCTAGGCATGGACCGACTCTGCTCCTCCACAGTTTCCTCCAAGGCCAACAGAGCCGCCCTCTCCATATTTGTCAGCTCTTATTTCAGCTCATCTTCCCCCCCCCCCCCGGCAGATTCAGACTCCGACAAGGGCAGGACAATGCAATTAGCTGCCAGCAGTTTGAGGAAGGGGGATTGTGGGGCACCAAGTTGTCCCCACATTGAATTAACCAGTGCCACTTGCTCCATCCCGACCCAAACCGTCTTGAGTCAGCCGCGCCCAGTGAGGGGTGAGTCATCATAGTCTTACATGCAACTGGTCCTTTGAGGGCAATTATAATGTGGCCCTCAATTAAATTGAGTTTGACATTCCTGAACTAAGCTTTAGAGACACCATCATTCTTTTGTTTAATTGCTTTGACATGTCTTTCATCCTGGATATATTTTGAATGGCAGGGCCAGCCGATGAAGATGGCCAGGGTACCCCCCGACCGTGGAGAAGCTCTATCTGATCTCTCTGCCACAACATCTCAGGTAAGGAGCCTTATCAGAGCAGGAAATCCTTAAAGTCTAAAACATTAGTCTGACTTGTTCAAGTGGATTCAGTGAAAAGTGTTATATGTGAGGAATGAAGTTATTACATCAAAATGGTAGCTTCTGCAAAAATAATAATAATAATAATAATAATAATAATAATAATAATAACAACTTCACACAGAAAGAGATGGGCCAAAATGGCGTCCCTCTTCAAAGTCTTTCACCGAAATGAATTTTGCTAAGAATTTTTTTTTAACCAAGCAGGTAGATTGTCGGTGAGGCAGCCATGAAACCGAGTCGTACATTGTGTCAGAAAAGGAGCATTTTCTGTCTTACGAAAACTTACTTTTAGGAAATTGGAAATGCAGAAGAGAACATTCTGGGATATCTGGGCTGAGTAACATTTCCTTTGACTTTCAGGGCTCTGTATCCTTTGAGGACGTGGTTGTGTATTTCTCGGAGGAAGAGTGGGCTCTGCTGGATTCCAGCCAAAGAGCCTTACACAGAGAAGTCATGCTGGAGAATTCCAGGAATCTGGCTGCTGTGGGTAAGGACTGGTTTTGTGTCACCATTCTGCAGGAGGATCTGTTGCGGAAGTCTTTTGTTGGCATAAGTGCTCAGAAAGCAGCTTCTACCTAGAAAGACGTTCTGGGATTTCTTTCTGTTTTTCTTAAGACCAGAGTAAGTGGAGAAGATGGTAGATATTTACAAGAGCTTTTCTCATCTGAGCTTTTCAGGATGTTCTTTAGCCAAAATGACAGTTTCTCTTTAGTCTGATTGTAACCTGGGGTTACTATTCTGTTAATCAAAGCAATCAGTAAGTAATAAATTACGTGACCATGACTTCACTTACAAGTTTACTTCAGCTTTCCTTTGCTTTACAGCTGGGTAACCCCAAAGGGGAAAGCTTTGTGGAAGTGTGATGTGAGGAAGTTGGGTTACAGAGTAAATCTCACCATTCGTGCTTCGGAACGCTCGCACTAATGCTTGGATAATTTGCAAGAGAATTGTTTGTTTCCATATTCATTGGAGACAGGAATTACAAGCTGAGACACAAAGGGGAATATACACTGGAAGAATGCAGGCTGTTCACCTAGAGGAGGCAAAAAATGCCTTGACGGTGACATTAGAGTCTTATCATGCTAGGCAGCAGCTGCAATCCAGCCTCTAATCAACAATTCTGGTCTATTTTGTTTTCTGCTAAAGACCCAAACTCATTTAATTTCATCATCTAATATTCTATATTATTTTTTTGGTCTTGCAGAAATACCACCAAATCCCTCAGCTTATAAACTTCCTTCTTAATATTTATATCTTATTTTCTCATCTTGCCTGTCACGTGACATTTTGTGATGTTTTTTATGGAGTTGGGGTGGGTGTGGCCTGGGCCACACAAGCCGCCAGTTTGACACCCCTGAGTTAAAGTTATGAAACGTTTTTTTTAATTTTCTCATTTTCAGTTATTACATTATTGCCTTCATGAATTTTTTTCAAATCGTTCTCTCTTCCCTTTCCTTTCTTAGGCTATATGCCAACCAGCTTCCTGGTTTATTGGCAACAATTCCGGCCTATTTTGTTAACTTGACATTAGCAGCGATGCCCTGCTCTGTGCAGAAAAGCAGCTAAGGAAGAAATAGCTTGTTTAGGCAATCTCTCCACCCTGTGAGGAAGGGGAGAGAAACAAAGATGTACTGACTGATTTCATTGGGGGACACACGACTGAGAGAAATGCTGTGACTGTCATGAATGTGGGGATTAGTCAACTTTTTCATCATATCTAAACGGTCACTGTCTGGGGCAGTTATTACTAAACAAGGAATGCCTGTAGTTCTGCTGTTAGGCAAGATGGGCAGCATAACTGAAGAGGTTCAGGAGGTGGAAGGTCGAGGTCATCAGCTGATGGAGGATGGAAGGTTGGGGCTTAAGGGCTGTACTGGGAATGGATGAGACTTTTATTTGGTTTGATGGGAGTGGGGGTGGGTGTCTGGAGCAGGGAGGCCAATTCAGGTCTCATAGGGCTAGGCAAAGAGATGACGGGGTTTAACCCAGCTCATGTCTAAAAGACGGGGATACAAACAGGTACAGCCTCCATTTTGTTTCTTACGTTTATTTCCTCCTCAGGAAATAAAGGCGGGGAAGGATCGGCTGCCGAGTGCAGCGGTGATAAGAGACAACATGTCCCCTCTGACAAGGAACAACTGCCTCCCCTGTCTGATCCTAGGCCGCAGAGAGTGGGGCAGAGGGAAGCTTAGCCTTACCAGGGAAACTATTTTAGTTTTTACTTTCAACCAGGAGATTCCGTTATGTTTGAGGATGATGTTCACCTTAGCAAAGATAGATTCATGATTATAAGATGTCATTTCAAATGCCTTCAGGAATTGAGGCTAGGTGTGTCAGAATATATTGTAGGGCCCTCTTGAAACTACATTTGCAGTGATAAACATCACAATTGCTTCATGCATTTTGTTCTTGATATCTCTTGTACTTGATTATTCACACTTCAGATGACAAAACAAGGGGTGCGTGTCCCCCCCGAGGGGTCTTTCACAGGAGGAAGAGAGATTCCCAGGAGGTGGGGAACTAGACATACCTCATAAAAATAAGTGGGGAACTATTCAAAACATAATGTTTGAGGCAGAACTAAAAATGATATGAAAGTCTCAGGCATTTAAAGAGGAACTCAGACAATCTTGTAAATGCAAAAATGTGGCATTTTTACGTGACAAATGTAATGATTTTTTTTCTCTTTGTTTTTCGTCGAACCAGGTTATGGGCAGGAGCATAAAGACTACCAGGGGCCCAGCTTAGCGCTATTCGAGTCTGTAGAAAAGATGTTTGGAATTCAGGGGGTACTTCAAAAGAGAGCGAAAAGTTTCCTAAAGAATCGAAGGAAGAAATCTTCTCCCTCTGATCGCAATGAAGTCGTTGGCCTCCCAACTCCACAACTTCAGCAACCAGTAGGAAGTGAAAAATATTTTGGTGGTGACAAGACAGAGAGCGCTAAAATTGTTTTCATTCAATATTGTACAAACCAGACTGAAGAGGAACAATATGAACGTCAAGAGTATGGGCAAAATATCAATCTTAGCTCCTCTCTTGTGTTACATCACCCGTCATACATCCAAGAGACACCATATGCACTTATAAATTGTGTAGAAAACTTCACTTTGAACAGTCATCTTATGTCCGATGGAGAGAATCACCCATATGAGTGTGGAAAGGGTTTCAGCCAGAAACAGTTGCTTATTTTACCCCCAGAAAATCCCCCCATGGAAAAACCATACAAATGTCCGGAGTGCGGAAAGACCTTCCCTCACAGATGTAGGCTTACTGTTCATGAATGGATTCACTCGGGGGAGAAGCCATATATATGCCAGGTCTGTGGGAAAAGATTCAGGCAGACTGGTCACCTTTCGAGACATCGACGGACCCACACTGGGGAGAAACCATATACGTGCCTTCACTGCGGAAGGAAGTTCAGTGAAAGTTCAGACCTTACCAAACATGTAAGGAGCCACACAGGGGAGAGACCGTATAAATGTTTGGAGTGTGGAAAGAGTTTCAAATGCAGCAGTCATTTTATTTGCCATAAAAGGAGCCACACAGGGGAGAAACCATTTGAATGCTCAGAGTGTGGAAAGAGCTTTAGTCGACACAATCACCTTTCACTACATAAGACAATCCACAGAGGAGAACAATCATAGCTTGGGAGCTTTCATCACAAGTGCTTTCTAAACACACCAGAAATGTGTTGACTTTCCAGTAACATTCAGTTCCAAAGGGTATTTCATCAGATCAAAATGAATCCACATTAGAGAACCATCAAAATGCCTGAAGTGTGGAAATTGTTTAAAATGTGTCACTGTCCTTATTTCCCGTAGGAAAGCCTATGACCATGAACAAACCTTTGGTGCCAATATTGGTCATTCCCTCCCACCCACCCACCCACCCCCAAGAAAATGCATATATGAGTTTGGATGAACTTCATGGATGCGGACTGAAAAAGCTGATCCATGCAGGAATGGTAGTACATCAAGAAATAGAACAAAGCAACTATTTTAAGAGGACGTGTCTTCTTAAATAACATAAAAGTTCCACTCAGGGACTGTATAAAAGAGTGGAACATGAAGAGGATTGGTGGCTTTTTTGCTTAATGTCTTCGCCAACAAATTATGAGTCCCTTTCCACATTTTTAGCCAGTCTTGAATATTTTTTTTAATCTAATCAAGGACTTGTATTGGAGGCTGACAAGGATTTATATGGTTGCTGAGGTTTCAAGTTCCATGAAAACAGACTGAGGCTGATTGGTATGTTTAATCTTGCAAAGAAAGTAACCAAGAAGTTTATAACATCCCCGTAGAAGCATTTGATGCGGTGTCCCAGAGGAGAAAGGAAAGGTTTGTCCTACCATGCAGAATAAACACAGCAGAATTAGGTTTAATGTTACACAAATTATGATAGTGATGAAACTAAGTGTTGTGGGTAGTATTTGCTTAGCAACCCTTTGAATTTCCAATGGACTCTTCCCCCCAAATATAATTATGAACCAGTTCTGGACTTGGAATGGCGGCACACACCAATCAGAATGAAACTGGGAGAGAGCTTGGAGGTCAGTCCAGTCTCAAGCAGGAGATCCTATACAATTTCAGACAAGTGACTGTCCAATCCCATCTTGAAAAATTCCAGTGATGGAGCACCCACAACTTCTAAAGGCAAACTGAGCAATTTGTCTGTGGGTGCAGGACATTTGCCTAAAACAAAGACTGCTGGTTCGCTCTGAGGTGACCTTGCAAGCAGCCATGGACGAAGCCAGAGCAGCAGAGATGTCTGATAGATCCACTGCTGAGATCCAGCAGAGCCAGCAGTTCTCCTCTCCAACCCCCAAAACCTGCCTAATTGATGACCTCGTTCCACTTGACAAAACCTTCGCAGATGACGACCAAGTGGACCGCCTGAAGGCATAACCATCTAAGCAGCCAACTGCTCTGGCCAAAGCCTCTCCCGGCAACTGCCTGGGCTGTGGCAGAGCCCACCCCCCGCACGGCTTGCCCATTCATGTCTGCAGCCTGCCGCCGCTGCAACAAAAAAGGACCCTTGGCCCATGTCTGCAGGGCCAATCTGCCCTCCGACTGGCCTTCGCGCTCCGAGAGGACTGCTTCAACATCGACTGCCCAGCCGTTTCCGTGAGCAGCAACTTGTCCCACGTGGAGGATGGCCAGAAGATACACATCTCCCTACACATTGAAGGGGCCCTGTGCACCACAGAGGTGGACTCTGGTTCTTCAAAGTCCATTCTTTCATGGGACACTCTCACTCACCTGATTCTGACCATCACCAGAGCCCACCTAAAAGAACCAACCACAGCCTTGCGTGACTGTCAGGGACGCTCAATCCCTACCTTAGGCTGCCTCTCTGTATTGGTGGACTACGCCAATTTCCATAGTCACCTACCGGTGATCGTGGTAACCAAAGCCCTGCCTGCTCTCCTTGGGCTGGATTGGTTCCCCTTCTCGGTCTCTCCCTAGTGGGCATCCGTGCCAACTACCCTGCCGCTGCCTCCATCGAAGACGTCATTCAGGAGTTTGCAGATGTCTTTGATGGCTCTTTGGGTAAATACAGGGGATCCCCTATTAGTTTAAATATAGACCCACAAATAGACCCCATTTGCCTGAAGGCTCACAGGGTGCCGTTTGCCTTGAGACCGAAAGTTGATGCGGAGCTGGATAAGCTCCTGGCGCAAGGTATCCTGGAGCCTGTCAACCATTCTAAATGGGAGACTCCTATAGCCATTCCCATTAAGGCTGGCGGGTCCATCAGGATTTGCACCGACTATAAGTCAACCATCAATAAAGGTCTCCAGGACCCGCCAGCTAGATCTCTCAACCCAGGTCGGGTGCCTACTCTGGGGAGACAGGGTGGTGGTTCCCCCCACTTTGAGAACCCAGGTACTAGACCGCCTTCACTTGGACCATCCCAGCATAGATCGCATGAAGGCCCTCGCCTGCAGCTATGTCTGGTGGCCCAAGATGGATGATGTCGTCACGTCATGGGTGGCTAATTGCCACCCCTGCCAGGAGTCCTGGCCAGTGCCTCCTGCCACACCAGTCCACGAATGGGAACTGCCCAGAGGACCTTGGTCCAAGGTCCGCTTGGCTTACACAGATCCATTCCATGGCTAGAACTTCCTGGTGGTAGTGGACGCTTACTCTAAATGGGTAGAACTACTACTTATGCCGTCCACCAGCACCGAGGCCACTATAAGAGGGTTATGGCGCATTTTCACCACCTACAGTTTGCCAGATACCTTGGTATCTGACAATGGGCCCCAATTTACAGCTGCAGGGTTCCAGGGGTTCCTAGCTGGCCTGGGGATTCACCATGCCCTCGTGGCTCCGTACCACCCCTCCGGGTCATCCGCTCGGCCAAGGAAGCGCTGAGGCGTATGGGCCAGGGAGGGTGGCCTGACAAGGTGGCAGCCTACCTCTTTGGGCAACATTCCATTCCGTGCCCCACCACTAATAAAAGCCCCGCGGAGCTGCTGATGGGCCAGCGCCTGCAAACAATCCTGGACAAGCTGTACCCCCAATACAGTGACGTATGGCCCAAAAGCCTAGGGACTCCCACACGCCAGTTCCTGGAGGAGGACCCTATCTTTGCCAAGAACTTTGCAGGGGAACCTAGGCGGGTGCCAGCCATTGTCACACACTTAATGGGGCCCTGTCCCTATAGGGTTGTCTTGCAAGACAGGCGAGAATGGTGGTGCCACATCGACCAATTGAGGCGCCGTCTTCCAACTGAGGCCTTCCCCCAGTCAGGCCTCTCCTATAAAGACCCACAACCAGCCACCGCCTTCTAGCAGCTCACTGGGACTCCGCCTCAATCCACCTCGCTACCGCCGCAGGACTTACCTGGGGAGCCGGGCCTGCCTCCAGGGTTGGAACAGCGTGACATCACCCGGAGCTCCTCCCTGCAGATTATGCATGCGCAGCTACTGTGCACGCACCCACTTGGGGGGGGGGGGGAAGAAGTGTAAAGTCCTTGACTTGCGACCGGCTGCAATTCCTCGACTTACAACTGACAGCCCGGCAACCAAAGGCTCGTGCCTATTGGTTAAGATGTGCCTGTCTGGAAGCGAGCTTTTTACAATGTTCCTATTCGTTGCTCTGCTTGACCGCTCCAATATAAATAGGAGTCAAGCAGAGCAAGGTGCTGAAGTTGTTACTGTTATGGGTATCTCCGTTGGGAGATAGAAAGTAGTGCAGCGGAATGTACAGCTAGAGAAAAAGAATATTACTAGTAGAAACATGAATAGAGTTTCAGATACTGCTAATAGCTTTAGTACTGATAATTGCTTCACAAGCAGTGATAGTAGATATTAGTCCAAACACAATTCANGCACGAAACGCTGTTACCTTCCCACCAAAGGTGGTCCCCATTTTTCTACTTGCATTTTTATATGCTTTCGAACTGCTAGGTTGGTAGAAGCTGGGACAAGTAAGAGAGTCTACACAAAGCTTATTAAGGAGATCAAGTGTCAAGATCGAAATTTAGCTGGTTCCGCTTTCAAGATGATTGTTTAAGCACAAGCTACAGAAGCTCTCCAAGGGAGGCCAAAATTGAATCCAACAACATGGAAAGTTCTTTGTAGGATTATGGTAACAGAGTCTTGCAAATCTGAGTGCATCTGCCCCCTCCTTGTTTGTCTTGATGAGAACTAGGGAGAGTCACCTCTGAGATATTTTCTCAAATTAAATTTCTGTCCCAGATTCAGATTACTTTTGTATGACCCATTGCCTTGCTAGGTGCTTTTCCTATCTTCCTTATTGGTTTGCCCCATTATAGCCATACTGAGATACTGGATTCATTTATGGAATCAGTTGGGCTTTTAAGTTTCTTGTACCTTTCAGTGGGTTACATTAATTTATTTAAAATGCCTCCTTTGCTATCTGAAGTGTGTGCAAAACCAAGAATTGGCTAGCAGAAAATGAAAAGCGGGAGTCAATTTTAATTCATTAAGTTTCGTTAAAAGATTAGTAGGCCAATTCAGGACTAGTTAAAGAAATCAGAGCAGCTAAATTATGGAAGATAACCAAGCAGAACCAGTGAAAAGCATAAAAGGAAAAACAGTTCTAGATGCTTGGGAAAACACACACACACATATTCTTGTTGAAGTCAGTTCTCTTAAAGTCTAAAACATTAGTCTGATTTGTTCAAGTGAATTCAGTGAAAAGTGATATATGTGAGGAATGGAGTTAATACATCAAAATGGTAGCTTCTGCACAAAAAAAAGATTCACACAGAAAGAGATGGGCCAAAATAGCGTAATTCTTCAAAGTCTTTCACTGATTCTAATAGGTGAATTGTTGGGAGAGGCAGCCATGAAACCGAGTCGTACATTGTGTCAGAAAAGGAGCATTTTCTGTCTTACGAAAACTTACTTTTAGGAAATTGGAAATGCAGAAGAGAACATTTTGATGTGGGGTGAGTAAGATTTCCTTTGACTTTCAGGGCTCTGTATCCTTTGAGGACGTGGCTGTGTATTTCACGGAGGAGGAGTGGGCTCTGCTGGATTCTAGCCAAAGAGCCTTACACAGAGAGGTCATGCTGGAGAATTCCAGGAATCTGGCTGCTGTGGGTAAGGACCGGTTTTGCTCTGATATTCAGGCATTTGCGGAAATCTTTTGTTGCCATAAGTGCTCATAAATCCATTTCTACCTAGAAGAAGGACGTTCTAGGATTCCTTTTTGTTTTTCTAAGACCAGAGTAAGTGAAAAAGATGGTAGACACTTTACAAGGACCCTTTCTCATCTGGGTTTTTGAGGAAGTTCTTTAGCCAAGATGACGGTTTCTCTTTAATCTGATTCCAGAGCAGATAACCAAAACAGCTTTAGGTGAGGAAGAC